CTGGGATTTGAACCGGCAACCTTCCAGCCACAGGTGCAGATCCTGAGCCACAGAGCCACCGCTCCGCCCCATGATACAGATTATTAATGTGCAAAGCCTGAGCTCTGATTCAGATGCAAAAGCAGTTTTGCATTTTGCAAATTATTGTGCTGTTAATTTTATTTTTTTATTTTGCCATTTTAACCTGCAAAAAGTGTTCATCTGTCTCTGTATTGAGGAGCTGCTCCACTCTGAACCTCCAGGAAAAGTAAAATGCTTAATAAGTGAGTCTGAAGGTGGCAGGTAGAGTCCAGTCTCTCTCAGCCAAGCCTGAGCTCAACTGCTTTTGCACCTGAATCGGAGCTCAGGCTTGGCAAATTCAGTCTTGCAAAGCAAGTTGGACTGATTTGCTGAGAAGGCAATCCCACTGAAGCAAATCATGCTCCTTGCTAGCCTTGCATATTCTAGCCTGTTAGCCAGAACACACTGCTGGAGAGGCCAGAGATTTTATTTCTTCTTGTGTGCTTGGAGAGGTGGCAGCACAGGGCCGTTTCTCTTTGTAGGCCGGCTATGGTTTTAGCTCCCATGAGCTACTAGATCATGCCTCTTCTGCTCGAGTACACTTCACCACGCCTCTCGCAAGTGGCCTTGCACCTAAATCGGCAAAGCAGAGGCCCTGCTTCAGCCCGAGCGTCGGGACTCCTTGTGTTGGCTCAGCCCGGTCCAGTGCAGGCGGGGCACAGATGGCGTAGCGGTGCGACCAGCTGGCAATGCCGGGCCGAGCTGCAGGGGGCTCTTCCCGAGGAAGAGAGAGAGAGGCCCAGTGCCTGTTCTTTTCCACGGGGGGGTCTCTGTGAATTTCCACTCAGGTCATGTCATGAGTCCTCAGAAGCCCAGCGAGGCTCAGCATGGGATGGGAGACCTCTAAGGAAAGCCCAGGTTGCTGTTGTGAGTGGTTCAGGTAGACCAGTAGGCTTTCCACTCCACAGCTCCAGTATGGTGATTGCAGACACTGCTGTTGGTACAGATGAGCCCTTCCGCTGTGTGACTGTGGCCCTATACAGCCTGTTCTTGCTTCCCTTCCTCCTTACTCCTCTTGCCGGAGCAGTTTCTCCCCCTCGTGGGGCTGCTGTGGGTCCCCAGCGGGCGATGAAGTGGCTGCGGGATTCTTTTGGCCTGAAAAGAGCCCCAGAAACCTCAGGAGTCACGAATCGGGCGCCGTGGCGCTCCGAAGCGGCAGACATGCAGAGGGCTGGCGGTGGCAGTCGTCGGTCTGTGTTATGGAGAGTGCTGTTCACAGGCTGTCTGCCGCTCACCGAGGCTGACAGCAGCGTCACGGGGGAGCTGTCTCCATGGCAACGCTGTGGCTTTGGGGATCGCTGTGAGGTGTGGGGGGAGGGGGGGGGCTGTCTGGCGCGTCTTTCGGCGAGAGAAGCGTCTCGTTCAGCTCCACACCAGCCAGGCCTGACGGGAAAAGGAACTGAGGGTTCCTCCGTGCGGCTTCATTTATGATCAAGTGACTCATTTTGATCTCTTTAAGATATGTGGGTTTTTTATAGGCCTGACTGTCCACGTCTGGGCCTGCAGGTCTGTGCCGGGTTCGGTTTTGTCACTTTCTCCGCAGGTTTCGCTGCTGTGTTGTGTTTGGTTTCAGAAAGAGCTGACTGGAAGTGCTTGTCGCCTTCGTCCTCTCTGCTGGGTAACACAGGAAGAGTCCTCTTCAGATCTGGGCTGCAGACAGGAAACCCAGTCAGAGCTCGGTGTCTTTCACAGAGGAGCAGCTGTGCAGCTGTGTGCCCCCTCATCCGGTCGTGTCCCCATGATCTTCAAGACCCTGTGGCTGCTGAAGAACGTGTTGGTTATCTTTTTTTCACGCAGCTATGTGCAGAGCTCATCTTGTTGAATCCATATCATGCAGTAAAATCTGAAATTTTTAGGCAACAATATAATAACAGTAACGGCAGTATAATGCCAAGCACGGATTGGCTGAGGTTTCTGCCCCCTGCTGGCTCGTCTTGGGATGACCTCTGACAGAAAGGTTATGCTCGCATCTCGGTGCCTCTGGTTCTGAGGGACACAGGTGTTCAGGTCCAGGTCAGGTCCACAGATAGCTCAATGGCCTCCAATGCTTTAAATAATCTGTACTGTATTGCAAAGTCCATGTTTTTGATTACAGTGTAGAGCTGAGTCTCGCTCACCCCAATGTTACAAAGATAAGAAGAACTAGGTGTCAGTAATAACACAGAAGTTTATTATGCCAGTTTGTTACTGCAGTGCCGAAATTAAAATGCTTAAACTACAACCTCTTTTTCCGCATGTGGCTGCTGCTCGTTGTGCTCCGGTTTAGGCTCCTGTGTTTCATGCAGTTCTGGAATCGGAGGCGTCCTGAGAGATGTCGCAGCAGGTTTCTCTGGAGCTCGTGCCTGAGCTGGCGGCAGGCCTGTGTGTGGAAATATCTGCAGTTTTATCCGTAGACTCTGTCTGCAGTCACTCTCGTCGAGGAGGGGGCATCTGGAGGCTGATTACAGCGTTAATTAAGATGCACGGCGTAGCATTTTTCTGCCTCCTGACCTGGCCTTCCTTTTCCCGAACTCGCCTTTTGTGTTTCGGATTGTGTTGTGGGTTTGTACTTCCTGAAAACTGCCTTCTCTGCACCTTTGTGTGGCTGAAGGTGCAAGGGTGGAAATAACCACTGAGACAGCAGATCCCGCTGTCCAGCTTCCAGACGCAGAGCTCTGTCTCGCGGACCCACTGTGTACGGGGGGTCACTCCCTGCTGGTTTCCTCTCGGTGCAGATGAATGGGGAGGGCTGTTTTCACAGGTCACCACGGGCTCATTCAGACCTGGTGTTGCACTGATGAGGCAGGGGGGCTGGGGTGGAGGCAGCGAGGCAGAGGCAGGGAGGCAGTGTCTGGGCTCGGCTGCACAGGTGCAGACCTCTGGCTGGTGCTCTTCCGGGGCCTTAGATGCACAGTCGACATGCTAAAACCAGTCCAGTGGACAGACTGGCTGTTCCTGCCAAGCTTTGTTCTTTGCAAGATATTTCTGCCTTTTACATAAGATGCAATGGTAATAAAGCAGCCTAATGATGCAGTCCTGTGACCTAGATCTGTTACACAACTGACTTGTTCCACTTGTTTTCCTTGGTTTCTGCAGGATAGTCCACTCTCTCTGTCAGTGCCAGGCCTCGCTCCGGCCCCACGCTGTCCTAGCGGCCGGCTTGTCTCTGGACTGGTTTCCACTGGGGGTGCCCAGTCCAGTAGCCCGAGCAGTTCTCCTTGGAAGCCCTCTGGTCCTGTGCTCGCAGGGCCCCTTGGGCCGGGTGTCTGGTGCTGTCCTGACCCAGAATGGGGTCACGGGTGCCTGTTGGCTCGCAGGCTCAGGGCTGGGAGACCCCCAGCCTGCAGACAGGAGTGCTTTAGAGGCATGTGACATGCTTTGTTAACAAAGGGTGGCTTGGAGCCCATTGTGTGCAATTAAAAGCCTGACTTATGAATTAAAGAAAATAGCATTTTGCCAGTGATTTCATATTTTGCAATGTGTTTTTAACATTATGGACCATAATGCTTTGTCTTGATCATGCCGTTAGTTCTGAAAATAGTAGAAGCAGGAGACTGGTGTTATTTCTCCTCTTCGTTGTGAGTGTGTCGAGCTGCGCTGTGTGTTGAACTGCTCTCTGCCTTCTCTCTGTTGTTGAGGAGCAGATTCCTGGTGCATTGGCTGATTGTGTGGTGCGTTGAGGGAAATGGATTTGTGAAACCGTAGATCACGAGAGAGTGGGAGAATGAATGAGTGCGATGCCAGGTGCACTTTTGCAGGACTGCTGGGGTCACACGATGATATGGAGGAATCTCTGAGAGCTGAAAGAACTCCCTGCTGTGGGTGTGTTTGACAGGCTTGCCTGTGGTTTGAGCAGGAATCGTGTCCAGAGCAACACTGGTCAGGAATTTGGTGCCGAAAAACCCTGGACCAGTGAGTAAAGTGTTCAGTAAAAGGAGGCAGTAAGAGTCAGGGCTCTGGACTCGTAACTGTGAGGTTGTGGGTTCGAATCCTTGGGCAAGGTACTTGACTCGGTTTGCTACAATGCCCAGATGTACAACAGTACGATCATTCGGGTAGAAGAGGAAGGAAATGCTGTTCCTCTCTCTGCAGATGTCATGGGTCTGGCCTTGAATAGGCCTGATGTATCTGATCTTTTGGTCTTCGTGAAGTCGTGAAAATTTTGCTTTCTGGCTTTAGGGGGGACTCCCCACCCCCTCTCCCCGCTGCTGCTGGTCTGGGGTCCAGTTGGTCATTTCTTGCTGGAGGCTGGGGCTGGGCTGTAGCTGTTTAATATATCTTTAACCTGTTTTTGATTTAGTTATCTTCGCATGGAGTTACCTGTATGGTGTTCCAAGTGTTTTCCCAGAATGCTCTCCCACTTCCTTTAATGCACTGTTTCAGCCAGCCTCTCTCAGGAGCTGCTCGCCTCCCTGTACCTCTGGAGTGCCTAGCAAGGGGTTAATCGCTCAGGTGTGTGCTGCACAAGCAAGCCCACACGGCCGGCCTGTTGACTTGCTAGGCTGGATGTCCCAGGGTTATAAAGAGCCTTGCAAGAGGGTCGCTCTGTGCAGAGCTAGGAACAGCACTGGTACGGTGGAGGTTGTTGTAAAAATTGCAGGCGCATGCTGTGTGTGTACAGTTGTGTATGTGAGGGCTGACCTCCTCACATGTCATCCTTCAGGCTGTACTCGGATTCTTGGAAAAGGGCTTGTTGAGTTTGTGGTGTTGGAAGCTGCTGCACACACTGGAGGGACATCTCCTCCCTCTCCGCCTGCGCGCCTGTGGTCACGGGGTCAGGGGGTCAGGCCGTGTCCTTCCGCAAGGCGCTCCCTGATGCGCTGGTGGGTGCGGCTGTCCTGTCCGGCCGGGCCAGGCCAGGGAGGGCTTCGTCACCTACACACGGGGAAACCCTGCTCTGAAGAGGCTCTCGGGCTTGGGAAGGCCCTCCTTCATCTCATTTGTTGTCTTTTGCCTCGCAGATGCTGACCCCAGGGCTCTGGAGAGGTTTTCTGACAGCAGCGTCTCCAATTACAGCGCCTGCCTGCTGGACCCCAGCTCGGGCATCCTTTACCTGGGGGCCCGGGACACCATCCTGGCCCTGGACACCAGGGACTTCACGAAGTGGCGGACGGTAAGAGAGGATCCGGCGGGACTGCAGCAGCTGTGCTCGGTGTGCTCCGGGTCCAGAGGTGCAGGGCGGATTTGATTACTTCAGCCTCTCCTGGCTCGATGAGGGAAGGTTAAGGAGCTCTTCATTCACTGCAGGAAGATGCTGTTAAAAGCTAGAACAGGGTCTGTAACAGAAGCCCTGCTTGTGCCGTGCGGATTTCTCATAAGTGTTTATGAATCAGACCCAAATGAGAACCTTCCTGGGGATGTGGCGTGAGCCGTCATCACCACAAAAACGGACATAGGGAAATGTGGAGAAGGCGGCTTTCTTCCTTCTCGTCTCTCATTACGGGGCGTTTCTGCAGCTTGTAGCCTACACTGTTCGTAAGTAATTTTTTCAAAAATAAATACCAAAACATACCCACTCCACCAAAACACACGCTGCTTGTTTTGTCCACTGCTTGTCTGCTCAGCTGAGAGGAGACGGCTCGGCCCACCGGTAGTTATCTCTCACTCATCTGTGTCTTGGGAAGCAGGGTAATTCAGCAGCATGGTGGACAGCTTGTTCCAGACACCTACAACCCTTTGAATAAAGTGCCCCCTGTTCTGAGGTTTAAATGGACTTCCGCTTAGTTTCTATGTGTCCTGGCTCATGCTACAGGTCCACTGGATTCACTGTCAGTGCCCTTGATGATTTTGAACATGCATCAAGTACCTAAAGAGGTTGAGCTCCATTAGCCTGTTGGTGAAGGACCTTTCCTGAAACCCTGGGATACAAGCAAGATGTGGAACCGAACCCCTAAAAAGCTGTGTACAAAAGCAGCTCAGTTTGGTTCTTGCAGGAAGTTGGTGTGTTTGAGGTCCTGTATCGAGATGCAGGGAGCGTGTTTATATCTTGTGAAGGTATCTGCGTCTTTCTATTTCTGAAGCATGGACGGGAAATCCACCAGTGGGGTCTCATGGTCCTTCGTGCAGATCTTTGCACCGAAGTTCACACAGAGGCAGATGGTTAACCTCTGAACGCTTGCTTCTGAGAAACAGCATTCGAGGGCAGCTAAAAAAACAGACCGACTTACACGTCTAGAATGTTGTGCAGCCATGTCATTTACAGTTAAGGTTACAAATTCTGATAGTGGAAATGCAGCAGTAGAAAATTGCCTCTGATGGTAGCACTGCAGTCTGGAGGTCAGAGGTCATCTGAGGGAGTTGGGGGGGCTGTGTCCTGGACAGTGGTGGACCCCACCCCGGTGTGGCTGTGCCTGGGCCGCTGGTGGACCACCTGCGCACGCACACTCTCCCTCTGGCTTCTGTCTGCCAGCATCCTCTCTGAGCCCAGGAGCTGGTAACCCTCCCAGAGGAACTCGGTGCACTGCTGGCCGAGCATCTCCAGCTCCCAGAGAGACCCTGCTGGCGGTCCGTCAGTCAGTCGGTCAGTCCTGGGTCCTCTGCTGTGGTGGGGGGAGAAAACAGCCTTGATACTGCAGAGTTGCAAAGGGCTGCCAACAGCAAAGGAAACAGGCTAAAATCTCTCTCTGCTCTCTGCTTGGAGGTAAAAGCCTCCTAAGGGCAGGGGATCACAGTCCTGTGCGGGAGGCGGGAGCCCTGATGTGAGAAGTGTGGGCTGCAGCTGTGTCCAGCCTTGCAGAGCAATGAGCAGGTGAAGCTCAGGGAGGGCCTGGCTGTGGGCAGCACTGCAGGGGTTAACCTGCTCTTATCTGCGCAGCACAGTGAGAACAGACAGTTCTTTGCAGCCTCAGGTGGTTTCCAGTAGTGAGGCTCAGGTTTGAACTTGGCACAAGAACAAACCTCCAAATAAACTGAAGAAAGCCAACAAGCAGAAGCAAATTGGATTTGAATTTCAGAGCACTTTGATCCATTATTGGCTTTCTCTTGTGAAGTTGATATGAAGCTGAACACATAGCTTTTGTGCTTCATGAATCCAAGACGTGTGGGCAGAGGCCGGAGGGTCCGGCGGCAGTGGGCGTTGTCGGGTCTTTGCCCGTCGTCCCTGGCTGGGAAGTCTCCAGTCTTGGTCCTTCCTGACCGTGGCTCTCTGTCTCCTGCAGATCTCCTGGGAAGTGCCGAAGGACAAGCGGGATACCTGCATCAACAAGGGCAAGACTGAGGTGAGGGGGAGGCTCTTTCTTTTCCCGATGCCAGCAGCTGCGCGCCCTCAGCAGGCTGTGAGCTGTTGAAGCGCCGGACACGTGATAGCTGTGTTATTCCACAGGCACAGCCTTATCAGGCTTATCTGGTAAACAAGACGGGCCTCCTTAGCAGAACTGCTCTGCTGCTTTGCCTCTATTTGGATTGAAAACGCTAAATGGAATAGTGTGACTTAAAGCGCAATACAGCGTTTACCCCACCTGTGTCCTTTCCACACCACTCTCAAAATCGGCATAGTGGCCAGGGGTCTCTTCTCACATCCTGTATCCAGAAACAGAAAGCCTGTGTGTGGGCTTTAGTTGTGGAAAGCTGTAGGGCACACTGAATCTATTGGGGATGGTGCAATAAAATCTGTTTGTTTCTTTCTTAACAAGTTGACCTGGGGAAGTTGTGCCAGCAGAAACACTATCTGTTGCAGTGAAGGATCATTCTTTTCACAAACGCTGTGGGGGCATGACGCACTTTGCTTCAGCATGCGGTGCGTTTGCACTGTCTGACTTGCGCAAGAGAATTACGAGCAAAACAGGTCTAAACCAGGTAAAGACTGTGCTGAATGATCAGAGAATCTTATTCAGCTGTCTTCTGAAAGACGCCAGGGAATGGGCTTCAGTAATATGGCTGAGCAGCTTGTTCCAGACTCCCACAACCCTTTGCATAAAGAAACTGGTTTTTAATCCTCTGTTCAGCGATCAAAAGGTTCAGTTGCTCCTCTCTGCTGGTGTAGTTCATTCCCTCCCGCCCCAGATGTATCTGGTTGCTCTTCTCTGTTCTCATCCCAGAGCAGCAACAGCTTTTTTGTAACATGGTGACTGAATTTGTGCGCAGTCTTCTAAAAGAGGCCTTTTTCGAAGGGCAGGAGACAAGCATCTCACAGCACACAGTAGGGGATAACCTGGAGCCCAGGATTTGTAAGGAAAGTTCGAACCTCTTAACACTTCACACAGGAAGTTGGTCCATATTCCCCTGTGACAGGGGACCCACATCCTGAATTAGCAGGCAGGAAATGTCTGATAACACTGCGTGGCCACCCTGTAAACTGACAAGATGGGATTTTAAAACTGCGTTTAAGCTGAAAGATGTTAATGTGTAATCTGGTTGCTCTTCTTGAACCTGGACCGATTCAAGAGCAGGAGTATCTTAAACCCTATCGAGAGGCAGGGGTGTGCATCCTGAGCCGTGTCAAACACCTTTTGTTTGGCCAGGGCAGATCACTTGCATCTTCCCGTACATTTATCGCTCGAGGTCGATGTGTGCTGTTACACCTGTTGCTAAGCGTATCCTTTCCTAGAGAGGAGAAGGGTGGACATGGGACACAGAGGAATCCTGTGGGGTCTCTTACATGGGCCTGACCCCTGCTCATTCATGAAGGGGAACCTTACCTGTGACTTTCACCTCTGATTTCCCCCCCAAGATTAAGCCCAGCAGTCCTCATACTCTGCTGATCTAGTGTCAGTGGAGTTTTTTAATATATTTAATATTCCTTTTGTGTTTTACGCTTGAAGTGCCGATGTTTTTTCGAAGAATCTGGGGGAAATCTGCCTTCACCATCAGTCGGCACCGGGGCCTTCTTCAGTGAGACCGTCATCACAAACGTACTAGTGTGTTTTACAGTTTTAACATGACATCCCCCATCCCACCTTTTACACTCGACACACTGGAGTGTGTATATCCTCTTATGTATCCTCTGTACATCAACATCAAAACACAGCTCTTTTTCTCAAGTGATTTCCTCATTTCTGTCCGTTTTCAAACGCTTTGTCCAGCTCGGGGTGGCGGGGAGCTGGGGCCTCCGAGTGTGGGGCGCCAGTCTGTCATTTAGTCATTTCAGCGATTTCAGTTTAACTGAGTAGTAAGGAATTTTAAAGAATTTTAGATTTGCACATCTTTTGATTTGAAGGCAGTTTTCTGACCTGTCTCGAAGTGTCATGGTGAACATACCTGCTCACTTATGTCTACTTAAAGTACAAGTTCTAGCCAGCGGCCGAGGTACCAGTCCATCCCAGAGAGCAGCCTGGGTAATCTGTGGTGAGGCTGCCCCCACTCAGCTCAGGGTGGAGAAATGTGCCCACGGTGTAGACCTGGCTCGGTGATCGGCGAGCCGGAGCCAGACTGTGACACAGGCTTGAGTCTCGGTGCTGTGCTGGCCAGACCTCGCTGCCCCATGCTGATTGAAGCGTCTGGGGCTGGTTAAGAGAAGCGCTGGGTGCTGCAACACACAGGACAGCTCTGTCTTGCTTTGGAGACACAGCTGCTCTAAATTCATGGAGGAGCTGTTGCCCCTGCTCACTCAGGGCACCCCATGTGCTGCAGAATCTGCACAGTTCTGCCCGAGACGCACGTTGTCAAGCGGTGACAGTGGATCTGGGTGCAGGGAAATTAAAGGCGGTGCACGGCGAATTCAGCTTGTGAAGAGAAACATGCCATTAAATGCACTGGGCATCCGTGCCTGCTGTGTGTAATTACACAGTCTGACACTCGCAAAGTGTTTCTTCAGGCATCTGCCTCCCTCTCCCTGCGCAGGCTGAAGAGCCGACTGCACAGCGATGTCTGGGCACTAGGCAGTGATGGCACACCATGTTCCCAGCATGCATTGCCCAGGTGT